AAATAAACACAGGATATAGGCACCGGTCCCCCCTCCCCCATACTTTGTTTTCTAGTTGTTTCCAAAATGAGCATCATCTCTGCTCCATCCCCTTAGCGTTCTGTAAATATTTATCGAGTACACACTGTATGCTAGAAGTGCATATTCATTCAATATTTGCCAGTGGTACCTCTCTCCCCATCACTGTGACAACTAAAAGTCAACAAATTTCTGCAATGTCCCCTGTGGTTGACAGTTCCACTTTGAGGACTGCTTGAGTGAGAACCTGACCCTTTTGCCCTTGGGATGGGGACTTAAGAGACTGCCAGTCTTTCTCTGCTGGCGCTGCCAATGACAGAGGGGTGGCACCTTGATCTTCTTTCACAGGGAGGCCTGGAGGCCGGACCCGGTGGGCCCAGCACACCCACTGTTACCTGGGACCACAGGCAGCATGAAGACCCCCGTGGAGCTGGCCATCAGTGGGATGCAGACCCTCCACCATCCACACCGCTGCCGGAGGGGCTGTCAGGTCAAGGCTACGGCATCGTACGTGGATGAGACTTTATTTGGCAGCCCTGCGGGCACCCGTCCCACACCGCCAGACTTTGACCCACCCTGGGTGGAGAAGGCCAGCAGAACCAAAGGAGTGGGCACAGAGGCCTCACGGGCCTCAGAAGCCAACAGGAGCAGCAAGACCACCTCCTCCAGGGGCAGTACCCCGACTCTCACACCAAGGAAGAAGAACAAATACAGGTAACAGGATGGGGAGATGCACTTCTGCACTCAGTGTAGCCACCTGTTAGAACGCTGCTGTTCACATGCTGTGTGACCTTGGGCAAGCACCTTGACCTCTCTGAGCCGCTGTTTCCTCATGGGGAAAATGGGACCTAATGGCATTGTTGAGAGCATTAAATAAGATGAGATGTGTACAGTGCTTGGCACAGTAACCTGACACTTAGGAAGCTCTCGATAAATGGTAGTGATGATGGCTGTGATGGTGGAGTACCCATCCCGAAATGTCACAGGCCAGGCATCACAGGCCCAGAAAGGTCAGGATTTGCCCAAGATTGCAGAGCAATTTGCATAAGGTTATTAGTGTGGTTGATCCATGAAATGACATAAATGGGATAGTTCTGAATTTCAGCAAGTCATTTTGAAAATGGTTCTTGCTGCATTTTCACGAACAAATTAGAAAAACGGGAGGTGATACTAATAGTTATAAAGAAATTAGGTTAGAATTCAATTATTTGGATAGTTTCAGATTGATATCAGCCCGCAGGCTGGCGCCTAGTGGTGGGGCACAGGGCTCTGTTTTGTTTATTGTTATCACTGATTTGGACAAAGACACTAGTGTGTTAATCAATTATGGCTGCCATAACAAAATACCATAGACTGGGGGCTTAAACAACAGAAATTTATTTTCTCACAGTTCTGGAGACTGGAAATTCAAGATCAGGGTGCCAGCAGGATAGGTTTCTCCTGAAACTTCTCCTCGGCTTGCAGACGGCCCCCTTGTCACTGTGTCCTCCTCACATGGCCTTTTCTCTGTGAGTGTGTACACTCCTGGTGTCTCTGCTTATAGGGACACCATTCCTATTGGATTAGGGCCCCACGTCGATGGTCTCATTTAACATTAATTACCTCTTTAAAATTAAATATGAATTTTGGGAGGACACGATTCAGTCCATAGCAACTAGCCATTCACATTTAAGATCCATTCTGAGCCAGGAGGGCCATACGTTAATCAAGAAAAAGGAATTTTGCCTATTTAAGGAGTTAAAAGTCAGTAAGAGAAAAAGCAAGAGTCATTATTATCATGTCAAATTGAGAGCGATGCCCTGACAAGTTCTGTGGACCACAAGGCAGGGTCCGGTTGACGTTAGCAGCACTGACACCTACAGCGTGGCTGAAGATGCTGATTCAAAAGTGGGTTGCCTTAACAGAAGTCCAGTGTCCACGATGAGGGAGGTTACAGTCCTCCCCATGCTCTCTCGGATGATGCAGTTTTGTGCTGGATGCTGACAAGTAGAGGGTGTCAAGTGAGAAGGTGCATAAGAGGTAGAGATGCTACTGAGCAAAAACTCTGGCACCAGACAGACACAAGCTTCAACCAGATGTGGTCTGAGCAGTTTAAGGAAGGGGCAAAAAGGCTGACTTTTCAAAGACTCGAAGTTTGGGAGTAAGTGCTGACTGACTCTAATCAAAGGTGAGAGGCCTAGAAGGCATGCCTATCTGATTTACTGATCAAGAGCCTGGATCCTTGGACCAGGTTGGGTTTGAACCTTGTCTGTTACCTCCTTGCTGTGGGGCCTTACCCGCCCTATGCCTTAGTTTTCCTCTCTGTAAAATGGGATTATCGATATCCCCCTCCTGTGGATGTTGTGGGAAATAATTAGATAGTGCATGTGACCTGCTGGGTCCAGGGCCTGCCCATGAAAAGCCATCAGTAAATATTCAAAAATTTCAAATGCTTCTCTGGTGGGGAGGCCAGATCGGCTTTATAACAAATTTAAACTGAGTG